GAGACTTTTGTTGTTACTGTGATTGGTATATCGAATACATCACGGGTAGTTTGCCAGGCTCTGCCGTGCAGGCGAGATATTCTCGGTAGCTTGCCGGGCTCTTCGAGAGGGCGGAGGAATCGAACTGGGGTCGGCCATGTTGGCCGCGTGCCAGGCAAACGCCCTACTGCTGTGCTGTCACTCCAATTATTGATTAGGAGCCAGATAGAGAGTATAGAGGTAAGACACTTGCCTTGCATAGCACCCCGTATGATGTCCCGATTACATAACCTATTAGTCCAACCAGGAGTAATCCCTGGGTGCAGAGTCAGGGGAAGCCCTGAGCATCTCCAGGTGTGACCAAACAACTTCTCACAAAAAATAAATGATAAATAAACGACTGACTAGATAAAGGGGGGAGGAAAGATAATCCTCTTCAGAAGAATTCCAAAATAATTCAGATGAATTATGAGAACACTATGAGAACAGGATGAGAATGCTATTTGGATCTCCCAAAGAGGAATTGAAAGAGCTATGCTTGGAATATCACGTTTCACTCAAATGAGAGAACGAATCCGGAGTTCCGATATCCGCTCGAGCAAATTGATGATTAACGGGAAGTCAAGTCAAGTGATCAAGTGATCAGATGAATTATCAAGGAATAATAGTTCCCTCAATGTGTAGGGCATGAAAGCCAGAGGTAATCTGACAGAGGAGAAATCTGTGAGGAGCTAAAGACACTGACAGTATGTCCTCGTGGCACAGAGTATGTCAAAGACGGCACCTGGCCTCTGGTCTTTCTCCCAGTCTAATCATGATGGAAACAGCAGACAAATTTCATTGAGGGGAACCCACAAGACAAACGAAATCCTAGATTATACTCGTCAAGGTGATGAAAAAGTAGACTCCCTGAGCATATTACGTTTAGCTGTCTTGTCCTTTTAGACTCTTCTTAGCCAAGACAGTGGTCCCACAGTAAGAGAGAAGCTGAGAATACACCGACTAACACCACCACACCAGCGCCCTGGGCTCTTCAACTCCCAGAACTCTCACCTTTCCCACAGTCACACCAGACACTGTTCTAACCCTGAGTGCCATAACCCTCAAAGCCCTGATGCAACTCCTGACTTGGACATCAGCCTTTAAGCACGCCCACTCTCGTGTGGTCACCCCATCTGACCACTTAATCACTTGATCACTTGACTTCCCGTTAATCGTTGATTTGCTCGAGCAGGCGCCAGTAACGTCTCCATTTGTCCCTGTCGCGTGCTAGTGTAGCCCAATGGCGTCTGTTCGCTCTAGGAACACGAGGAGCCTCAAACCGATCGTTCATGATCTTGATGAAGAAGTCCGACCATCTGGTAGGTGGGCAGCCACGCGGTCTTTTGACATCCCGTGGAATCCAGTCGGTAACAGCTCTAGTCCAGCGGTCGTCTTTAAATCTCATTACGTGACCAGCCCATCTGATTTTTGACACCTTGGCAAACGAGACAGCGTCCCTGATTCTTGATCGTCGACAGAGGTCGGAACTCCGGATTCTTTCTCTCATTTGAGTGAAACGTGATATTCCAAGCATAGCTCTTTCAATTCCTCTTTGAGAGACCCGATTAGCGTTCTCATCCTGTTTGCGTAGGGCCCAGGTCTCTGAGGCATATGTTAATGCCATCTGACCAATGCTACTCAAACATGGTCAGTAGCCCCACGCTAGTCTAGAAACTGTCACAAAGGGGAAATGCTAAGTATTCAGAGTCCGACAGCATTTGACATGGTTGTGACATCCAAGCATGTCATTGGTGGACTTGTAAGTCTGGATCAGGAATTCAAGAATTCATGCAAGAAGCAGCTGGTGGCAAGAGTTGGCATTCAGGTGCACACAGAGACCCTTATTGGTCTGTGGGGTCTGAACTGCTGGTCCTGAGGCTGCTAGCTCCTCCACCTTTCATATCTCCAGCCTCAATATCTTGCTCCTCCTAAAATCCATGCTGGGGAAGGCACATACCCCAGAGATGCACTTCAAAGTCCAGGCATCTCTCCTCTCCGTCTGGTTCTACTACTTTCCCAACCCACGTTGTATCCCAAGATACAGGGTTAGAACATCCAGGATAGAACATTCCCACCTTTCTGCACATCTGCCCAGGTCTTGCTTCTGACCTGACTGTGCTTGTTCGCACAACCCCAATCTCAGACTTCCAGAGTCCAGAAGTGGGAAAGATAAATCTCCCTATTTTTCCCTCACCCAATGACTTCTTCAAACAGAAATCCCTCCAACCTGCCCACCCCACTCAGCTCAACTATTAAAAAAAAAAGTAGACGAGACTCAGTATCATGAGAAAGCATTGATCCCGCCAAGCAAATTCAGAACTATTCCTCGCTAGAGTCCACTGTGGAACCAAACCACCCCTGATGGGTCTCATATGGTCCCCAAAATACAAGCACAGGACCAGAGAGATAGTAAAGGAAGTAGGGCACTTATCTTGCCACTCCAGGTTTGGGTTCAGTCCTATGCTCCTAATCTGATCTCCAGAACCACAAAAGCCCTGCGCATGGCAGGTCGTGACCCCCAATCACTTAATCACTTAACTTAACTTCCCATTAGTCGTCTATTTGCTTGAGCGGGCACCAGTAACGTCTCCATTTGTCCCTGTCGCGTGCTAGTGTAGCCCAATGGCATCTGTTCGCTCTGGGAACATGAAGAGCCTCAAACCGATCGTTCATGATCTTGACAAAAAAGTCTGACCATCTGGTAGGTGGGCAGCCACGCGGTCTTGGTCGTGACCCCCAAAACCAACAACAAAAAAAGTGCAAATAATAGCTGGTTTCACACACTTTCCTTTTTCCATCCAACCACAGGCTCCAAACACTCTGAATGAACGGGCATTTGGAAAACTAAAATTAGCAAGTAGCTAGGAAGCCTCGATGCCCTGAAGCCCCTTGGCAACCTGGCAAAACTCCTGTGCATGGCCGTGTGCTGGCAGCTGGTATTCCCCTTCCTGGAAGGAGGCGCCTGTTGGTGGTGACGGATCAGCCTCTGTGAAGCTCGTCATGCTGAAAGTCTTGCTGTTTTTCATCTAGAGATCTTTAAACTGAGCTCCAGCATCAAGTTAGTTTATTTTGGGTTTGAAATGAACCCTCTAATGAGCAGGACTGCCTGCTTGCCTTCCCATTAGTTTTGGCCTTCACCTTTCCAGTAACTGCGATGAAGATGGCCCTTCTGGTTTCAGTGCTCCCATTACCAGAGCAGATGCACACACACGGCCCCCTCAAACTTTGTTTGTGCAGTGATTTATCATTCGAGACATGCTGTTTGTAAACAGATGCTACTTAAATTACTCACAGTATCATCTCAACACGTGTAAAAATATACTTCTACACATATAGGATATTGTTTTATGAAACCAATCCTTGTGTATAAACCCTGCAAGATGTGCATTGTTTTTCTCTCTGCAGATCATTGCCACAGAGCTGTGCTTCCCAGCTGAAAGGGAGGGCGGCAGATGGGTTGGAGCTTGCCGGCGCCCTGCTGTCTCAGGGTCTCAGACTCCCTTCCGAGCAGACACCTGTGCAGTGTCTGTGTCACTCTCCAGAACAGACGCTGCCTGGGAGCTCTCCTTGCATCTGCAAAATGACATCAGGCCCACTAGGTCTTCCCAGAACCAAGGGCAAAGTTGCACAAAAGTCTATCGGGCCTACAGCTAAGCCAGACAGACTGCCAAGGATTTCCCAGCAACTTTCTCAGGCCAGAGTCAAAGATCTTGGCATCAAGAGGCACCCAAGTCCAGGCATCAGTGACCCCCTTTTCACTCCATCTGAGTCTTATCTGCAGCAAACGGCTCCACAGCCTCATGCTACAACGGACTGTCCGTGGGTCTGGTGGGAAGGGGCCGGGGGACGTCTTCCTGAACCCCCATCCTGCTGCTCCGGAGATGGTCTCTCCTGAAGCTTTGCAGAAGAGACCTCAGAAGAGACCCAGGCTGCAACCAGCTCACCCCCACTGCAGGGCCCCAACTTTCCCAGGACAGAGAAGGGAGCCAGATTGAAGAGTCCAGCTTGGCACAGGCTCTGGGGAGAGGTGAGGGGCACTGCAGATGTAGGAGCCTTGGGGGGTTGGCAGCTCTGCCAAAGGGCTGAGACAGTCCCGTTCCCGCCCCGGTTGTTATCAGCCCTCAAGAATGAGTATATACCTCCCGGGGAGGTCTGTGCCGCCCTGGTACCCAGGGACAGGCATGGGTTTGCTGCAAAACACATACCATCAAGCAGGCCAAGAGCTGCCGCCTGTTTGCTGCTGCGGCAGGGGCTGTGGGGGGCACGACACGCAGCCCTCCCCTGGGTCTGTCTAAGGCGCGCCCTTGAGGAGCGACCAAGTCAGGTCATGTCCCTTTCCGTGACCTCAGCCAAGGTCCCTCGAGGCCTGCAGGCCTCCGTTTTCCCACTCGTGAAATGAGCGAGTATGCAAAAGAGCACCACAGGTCCTCGTGGGCGCTTTGGCCCCTGCATCTGAGTTCTTTCGTTCCTTTAAGTCATGGACATTTGGGGGCTCTCAAAGATCCTGATGCTCCACACACAAGCGGTGTAACAACGTCCTGGGGGACACAGGCGAGAAGCGGTGTGGTGTGTGTGTGTGTGTGTGTGTATGTGTGTGTGTGCACAGGGAGGGAGGGGAGACCCCAGAACAATATCCTCCCCCATCCCTCCTCAATAGGCGGAAGCTGCTGGCTTCCTCCCTTTCCTGCCTCCTGCCTCCTGCGAGCTGCCAGACAGAGGGGGGAGCACAGAGTGGGTGGGAAAGCGGCCTTGTCCTTACAGCAGCCCTCCCCCACCCCTCCAGCGACCCTGCTCCCTTCCAGGCCCCTCCCAGCCTCAGTCTCCTGGGGGCTGGATGTGGGGGGGGGGGCGCCAGGGGGCTCTTAGAGGCCAAGAAGCAGGATAAGTGCCCCCACCCCTCTTGCCTGCTGCCCCTCCCACCCACACCACCTCATTTCCTTTTCCTTTTCAGCACCAACACGCAGTAACTAGCACAGGCCCAGCGGCCAGACCCAGGATAGCTGACCGCGGGTCCTCTTGTCTTCACTGGCCCGGTCGGCCTCCAGAGTATGGTCTGGCTGGGGTGCCCTTTACTGCTCCCCATTCTCTTCCTGGCTTCTCATGTTGGTAAGTTCCCCCCCAACCCAGCCACACCCCCAGGCCCTGGTTCTCCCTGCAGGGAACCCCAGATCACGGTCATCCATACCCCGACCCGCTAGGACAGGGCCGGCGGCAGCTGGAAATCTCTGCGGCCTGAGGAAGCGGGGGCCATGGTTGTAGCTTAAGGTAGCTTGGAGCTTAAGGTCAGCGGGGGACAGCAGGCCCACGGGGCCCAGGAGGAGTGCTCATGGGGTCAGTGTGCTGGAATCCTTTCAACTGTTCACTTGACAAACATCCCTCAAGCCGCCGCAGTCTTCCAGGAGCCGTGCGGGGTGGTCAGCCATTAGTACGAGGCGGCCAAGCCTCCAGATGGTGGAATGAGATGAAACGGTGGCTGACCTCCTGGGGCTCAAATGGGGCTCAGACGAGGTGATTTACACAGAGTGCTTGGCATCAGGCCTGGCGCTGGGCAGGGCCTCCTGGATCAGTGGCTGCTGCTTTTCTGAGCTGACCCAAGAACATCCAACACAAAGGCCGCTCAGAGGAGCAGCTCATGGTCTTGTGGTGGGGGGCGGGATGGAGCAAGGGCTGGGGGTGAGGACCAAGGGGCTCCAGAAGATACTGAGGAGTGGGCTTGGTGCTCCCCATCCAGGCAGCCAGGAGTCTCAGAGGCTTGCAGGCACTTGGGAGAGAAGGTTCTGAAGGGACCTGTGGGAGGGGCAGGCCCCTCGGGGGGCTGGGGGTTTAGGGATCCATGCTTCTTCAGAGGGCAATGGGGAGCCATGTGGGTCAGTGGCATAGTAATAGGTCTTAGATGGAGCCTTTCAGGGGATGGATTAGGGGTGAAGGATGCAGTTGTTGTCCTGGTCCAGGTAAGCAGAGCAAGAGTACTAAGAGGGGCAGGGTGGGCTTGGGAGATGGGGTGGGAGGGCAGCTTTTTTTTTTTTTTTTTTGCTTTTTAGGTTATACCCGGCAATGCACAGGGGTCACTCCTGGCTCTGCACTCAGGAATTACCCCTGGCAGTGTTCAGGGGACCATATGGGATGCTGGGTCCGCCGTGTGCAGGGCAAACGCCCTACCCATTGTGCTATCACTCCAGCCCCTGGAGGGCAGCTTTGAGGAAACAACAGAGGCAATGGGAAGATGAGGCCAGTGAGATGCCTGGCCAGGTAGACTTGAAGCCCAGGCGGCCACCCTGGCTCCGCTGGTCAGTGTCATTTCTGAGTCCTTCTGGGCTGTGACATCCATCCTAACACCCTCCTCCAGGAGAGGGGTGAGTGAAGGGTGAACAGCAGAGAATCTAAGTGCCTGGCGTGGAACTGACCCCCTATAAAGATTCAGATTCTGACCATGGGAGTTGGCAAGTTCTTGCAAGTGTGTGTCTCTGGGAGTTGAAGTGGTAAACTGAGTCGGGGAGCCCCAGAGGGGCGGGCTTGGGGTAAGCAGGAGGAGGTGGGGTGCCAGGTGAGAGACTCTTCGGGGTGACTGACAAGGAGAAGAAAAGCTTGCTCTGAGAAGTCTTAGAATAAAAGCTGCAGCTCCAATGGTGGGAGCCAAGTGGACTCGGGGCACGCTGACAGCCAACCGGGGAGATTCTCAAAGAACAGCCCCGAGAAGCTCCCTCAGGGCTCGGCAGTGGACAGGCAGGGCAGAAGGCAGGGGCTTAGGGTCCTGGCAGCCACCATGCCTAGCCGGCTGTCACCCTCACAACAGGCACCCCCACATCACAGTGTCTGTTGTGGAGGAATCCAGGGCCCCACCCGGGCAAGGAAGGTGCCCCGGCGGAGCCGCACGCAGCTCACCTCACAGCCCTGCTCGTCCGGCGCTAGAATGCTCTGTCCCTCCAGCTGCAGGAGCCTGAGCTTTACGGGGGCAGACGGGGCCTCCTCACCCGCTGCCTCTCCGGGGCAGGGCCTGGTGCCCCTTTCTCTGAGCTGCCCTGCATCTGTCCATGTCTCCTGTTACTCCAGAAGCCGGACATTCTGCCGAGGGCCCCTGCCTGCATGGGCCTCATCGCGGGTCTCTGACTCCTTCCTTTCCACACCCCGGGCCCATCCACTGAGGGGGCTGGAAGTCAGGGGGGTGGAGGGGGGGGGGTCCTGGGGTCGGGGGTTGGGCTGCTCCTGTGGGCTGCTCTGTGCAAGTGGTGTTGGGCAGTCAGGAAGGGAGAGTGGCAGGGAATGAAAGTGAGGAAACTCAGGCCGGGAGGCAGCGATCATTGTTTCCTAAAACTGTGGACAGCAGGGGCCTCCGACAGAAAAGGGAGGGTGCGGCCAGAGAAGGGCCTTCGCTTTTGTTTTCTTCCTCTCTCCTTTTCCAAGATCACGACCATCCTGTTATTCGGCGGTTGCCTCGAGCAGGTCCCAGTAACGTCTCCTTCGTCCTAGCCCTGAGATTTTTTTTTTTAAAAAGTGCCATATTCAAGCCTCTTTCAGAGTTAGGAGAATGAGAGCCATCATTGTTACTGGTATTTGGCATCTTGGGTACGCCACGGGGAGTTTGCCAGACTCTGCCGTGTGGGCAGGTTACTTTCGGTAGCGTTTTTCCGAAGGAAAAATCCACCCAACGAAGCCCCTGGGGCTCAGGATTCAGGGGGGCTCCAGGAGGTGCTGGCAGCGGAGGTCCCCAGGTGGGGTGGGGTGGGCCCCCCACGTGCCAGGCGCGCAGGGCAGCGCCGGCCTTCTGTTGGGGTGCCAGTTGGGAAGAGGGGGAGGAAGGGCAGCGGGGAGGGCCTGACCCCGGCCCGGTGTCCCGGCCCAGGCGCCGCTGCGGACCTGACGCTGCTGGCCGACCTGCGCCTCACCGACCCGCAGCGCTTCTTCCTCACCTGCGTGTCCGGGGAGGCCGCGGCGCGCGGTGCCGACGCCTGGGGCCCGCCGCTGCTGCTGGAGAAGGACGATCGCATCGTGCGCACGCCCCGGCCCTGGCACCCGCCGCACCTGGCCCGCAACGGCTCGCAGCGCCTGACGCTGCGCGGCTTCTCGAAGCCCTCGGACCTGGTGGGCGTCTTCTCCTGCGCGGGGGGCGCGGGCGCGCGGCGCACCCGCGTGCTCTACGTGCACAACAGCCCCGGGGGTGAGCGCAGCGCGGCGGTGCGCCCGCGGGAGCCCGGGGTCGGTGAAGTGGGGTGGGTGGGGGGTGGGGGGCGCGGGGACCGGCTGCCCCTGACCGCACCCGGCCCCGCGCCCCCCTCTCCCCGCCCACAGCCCACCTGTTCCCGGACAAGGTCACCCACACCGTGAACAAAGGCGACACGGCCGTGCTCTCCGCTCGCGTGCGCAAGGAGAAGCAGACTGATGTGATCTGGAAGAGCAACGGTGAGGGCGCGCCCACCTAGGGGGGCACCCCACCCAGCCACCCACACTGCAGTGCACACCCACCTGGGCCCCTTTATGGAGCGCCCTGCACCCTCCTCTTGGCCCACCTCCAGGCCTTGGGCACCTGCACCCAGCTGGCGACCCGTGAGCCCCTCGCAGCCCTGAGCTCCACTCTCTCCTGTCACCCCAGAGCATCAGCTCTGCCCTGGGAGTTATCTGGGGCGACCCTTCAGCAGCTTTCTGCGGCCCCTTATCTCTGACCAGTACGCTCATGAAGGAGGACCTGCCCTAGGGCCAGGGAGGAAGCCGCCTTTCCCTCAGGTTCTCAGGAAGAAAGGAAGTTGTGGAGGGTCTTGGGAGCTTGGCGCCAGACCAGATGGGAAGAGGCATGATTGGGCGGGAGGGGGAGAACCAACCCCACACCCCACTTCTCCGTGCCTGGGTCCCGGAGGGAGGGCCTCCTGAAAGGAATCCCAGACGGAAGGACCTCCTGAAAGGTACACAGAGGTAGCCCAGGGAAGCCGAAAGAACATTCCAGAAGGATCGATAAGGGCAAAGGTTCTGAAATACCATGATGTTCACAGAGGAGTAAATCATTGCGGAATGCAGGAATGTGAGGTGCAGGGCTGGGCGTGGAGCCATGAAGCCGTGGGGGGGGGGGCGGTGAGGGAGCAGGGTGAGGCCCCGGTGTGGTGTCCCGGGGACAGAGGTGAGCCTTGCAGGTGTGGCCCGAGGGATCTGATGGAGGAAGAGTGAGCTGGTGTTTCCTGACAGAGGAGAGCCGAGGCTGAGGAGGCTGAGGGAGGACCAGGCCATGGGCAGGAAGGGGCAGTGGGCAGAGCCGGGGCTCAGGACCAAGCGGGGCTCAGTGACACTGTGTCTGGCTGGTGGCAAGGATGTTTCTCTGCCACTCTGGCCTGGGTGCAGGTGGCATGTGTGGGCTGAGGGAGAGGCTCCGCGTGTTCCCATCCTGCTGAGCGCCCCACCACCCCAACCCTCCTTATGCCCCCAGGATCCTACTTCTACACCCTGGACTGGCACGAAGCCCAGGACGGACGGTTCCTGCTGCAGCTCCCGGACGTGCAGCCGACGTCCAGCGGCATCTATAGTGCCACCTACCTAGAAGCCAGTCCCCTGGACAGCGCCTTCTTTCGGCTCATCGTGCGGGGTCAGGGGCTGGGGGTGCAGAGAGGGCGAGTGGCTGGGAGAGGTTGGGACCCCTGTGTTACTCAGTCCCTGTGGTCCGCCTGGCTTGCCGCAGCTGCCCTGGTCCTTAGCGGCCGTGGGCAGCTGCGGATGCCGTGTTCCTCCAGGCTGTGGGGCCGGGCGCTGGGGTCCAGGCTGCACCAAGGTCTGCCCAGGCTGTCTGCATGGAGGGGTCTGCCACGACCTGGATGGCGAGTGTGTGTGCCCCCCTGGATTCACTGGCACCCGCTGTGAACAGGGTGAGGAGGAGGGGGAGCTGGGGCCCATGCAGGCCGACACCCCTCGAACCCTGGGAGTGGAGCTTTGCACAGGAGGGTGCCTGCCAGTCCCTGGAATGAGCCTAGCAAAGACCTGGACACTCAGCACCCTTTTTTGCAGCCTGCAGAGAGGGCCGTTTTGGCCAGAGCTGCCAGGAGCAGTGTTCGGGCACTTGGGGCTGCCGTGGACTCACCTTCTGCCTCCCGGACCCGTACGGGTGCTCTTGCGGATCTGGCTGGAGAGGAAGCCAGTGCCAGGAGGGTATGATCCGGCCCGGCCTGCGAACTGACCCACACAATGCTCTCTGGCCTTTCACTGAGGTCTCCGTGGCCCCCTGCTCTCCCGACCAGTGTCCCCTCTCTCCCTCCCTTACACACCGAGGTCTCCACGGCCCCTGCTAGTGTCCCCCCTCTCCCACCCCATCCCTCACCCCGGCAGTGCCCTTGCCCCCCTGATCATGGTCTCTTTGTCTCCAGCCTGCGCCCCCGGTCACTTTGGGGCCGACTGCCGCCTCCAGTGCCAGTGTCAGAATGGCGGCACTTGTGACCGCTTCAGTGGCTGCGTCTGCCCCTCGGGGTGGCACGGGGAGCACTGTGAGAAGTCAGGTAGGACCCTCTGGGCACCAAGCTCCCTCCAGTGCCCCGCCCTGGCCACAGGAGCTGACCCACACCAGGGCAGCTGGGGCCTGGGAGCCCCTGAGCATACAGGAAGGGAGAGGGAGGCACCGTCTGAGACGCGTGTGAAGGACTAGGGGCAGGTGATTGGGCAGGGGCCAGGGTAGAGGACTCCGGCTCGGGCAGCTGGACTGTGGGATAGGGAAAAGCCAGGGACAGGGGCAGAGGTTGCATCTTGGGGACTCTGAGTCACAGGGTAAAGGGTTGGGCTGGGCATTCGGTAAAAGGGGTAAGAGAGGCGGACAGGCACCAGACACATGTTTGAGAAAGGTGAGCGGAGAGTGGAGGCAGGGACCCCCACTGTTCCCAGCCTCGGAGAGGCCCTGAAACCAGGCAGGCCTGAACTGGCCAACATTCTGGGCCAGGCTGGGATGAGGCTCTGGGCCAGGTCAGGAGGGCTTCAGGGGTGCATGGATGAACCCCACTGACCCGCAGACACTGAGCAAGTAACTGTTGGCAGACACGTGTCTGCCACTGCGGGGACTCCAAGACGAGTGTCCCCCACCTCTGTCCCCAGATCGGATCCCTCAGATCCTCGACGTGGCCTCAGACCTGGAGTTCAACCTGGGGACGACTCCTCGTGTCCACTGCGCGGCTGCAGGGAACCCCTTCCCCGTGCGGGGCAGTATGGAGCTGCGCAAGCCAGACGGCACCGTGCTCCTGGTCAGCCCCCGGTCCTGCCCTTCCCCCCTCAGCCCCTCCCTCTGAGCCCTCGCCAGCTCTGTCTGGGCCTGGCTCGTTCCCGTGTCGTGGGGTTGACGATCAGGCTGTCCGGCCCCCGGCAGACACACGTGCACGCCACGGGGGTGCCCATGCTCTGGCCTGTGTCCCCCTCTCTCTCAGTCCACCAAAGCCATTGTGGAGCCAGACAGGACCACTGCTGAATTTGAGGTGTCCCGGCTGAGTCTTGGGGACAGTGGCCTCTGGGAGTGCCGAGTGTCGACGTCAGGCGGCCAAGACAGCCGACGCTTCAGGGTCAGCGTCAAAGGTTGGTGCGGTCCTGGGGCAGTCGGGCGGGCAATGGGAAGCACAGACACCGCCCTCCCAGGCATCCTAGCAGACAGGCCAGGGCATCTTAGGACGCAGCCCAGCACCAGGCAGAGAAGGGGGCTGTGGCTCCACTAGAGGCCTGGGCTGGGCAGTGTCAAGGCTGGAGCACATCTCAGTCCTGTCTGGAAATGTCCAGAGGCAGGGGACACCCTCCAGCCTCACCCAGTCTCCTGCCTGGCTTCCCCCTGGCCACGCTTCCCCTCACCTCCCCTGGGTGCACACAGGCACCTTTCATTCTGCCCCTGGGCTGCTGCCTTCCTACTGAGTCACACACTCCCAGGTGACTGCTCCACAGGGTGCCAGCTAGACCCACACTGGGGCCCCTGACATCCTCTCAGCTCACGCCTACATCTTCTTCACCTCTGCTGTCATTGGCTCCTTCCCTTCCATCCATCCTTCCGCCATTCAGACTTCTATCTAATCACCCTACTGTCCATCCTTCTACTCATGATCCTTTCATCCATCCACCTCCATCCATTCTTCATTCCATCCACCCACCCACCCACCATCCTTCCATCCATCCTTCTATCCAACCATCCGTTCATCCACCCACCATCCAACCTTCCACTCATCCACCATCCATTCATCCTTTCCTCCGTCTACCACCATCCATTCTTCCTTCCATCCATCTACCCACCATCCTTCCATCCATCCACCTACTATCCTTCTATCAATCCATCCTTCGTTCTTCCTCCCATCCACCCACCATCCATCCATCCACCCACCCACCTACTATCGTCCATCCACCCACCACCATCCATCCATCCATCCATCCACTCACTACCATCCATCCACCCATCCTTTACCCCTTCTGACTTTCCCTTTCCCCACACCCCCACACTACTGCATGGGAGTGCGTTCCCCCAGCCCCCGTCTGGCCTTATCACTCCCTCACTGACCATCTTCTAGAATGCCCATATGTCCTCACTGCCAACCCTTGTGTCCAACATGCCTGGGGGCAGAACTTTGATCTTCCTGGGCCCAGTCATGCTGTTAAACTCAGTCCCTCCCCGATCCACCCGAGCACCCAGCCCTCTCGCTGTCCTGAGAACTGGGCAGGCTCCCAGGACCACCACTTCCCCCAACTCTCCCGCAGAGCCCCCAGTGCCCCTGACTGCCCCCAGGCTCCTGGCCAGGCAGAGCCGCCAGCTTGTGGTGTCCCCGCTGGTCTCCTTCTCTGGGGATGGCCCCATCTCCTCTGTCCGCCTGCACTACCGGCCCCAGGACAGCACCATGGATTGGTCTGCCATCGTGGGTGAGTGGAGAGAACGTGGTGGGGAGGAGCGGGGCAGGAGGCGGGCAGGAGAGAGAGGAAGAGGGGAGAACAGAAGGCAAAGGTGCTGAGAGCCTGGCGGCTTCTGGAACTGTTGGGACTGAACGGGCACTGTGTGTCCCCCTGCTCCCCAGTGGACCCCAGTGAAAACGTGACATTAATGAACCTGAGGCCAAAGACAGGATACAGTGTCCGTGTGCAGCTGAGCCGGCCAGGGGAAGGGGGCGAGGGAGCCCCAGGCCCGCCCACCCTCATGACCACAGACTGTCCCGGTAAGAGGCAAGAGCTCATGGTTCTGTCCTCCCGAATATGGTCCCACGGACTCAGGCTCACATCTTCTCCACCCATCGGTCCCCACCTTTCCCACTGGAGGTGAACCCTTCCTGCCTCCGGGGGCCCTGCCCCACCCAGCCCCGATGACCCCGGGATAGCTCTGACCCCCTCTCTGGCCCTAGAACCCCAGTTGCAGCCGTGGCTCGAGAGCTGGCTCGTGGAGGGCCCCGACCGCTTGCGAGTGAGCTGGTCCTTACCGACGCTGCCCGGGCCGCTGGTGGGCGACGGCTTCCTGCTGCGCCTGTGGGACGGGGCCCGGGGCCAGGAGCGGCGGGAGAACGTCTCGTCCCCCCAGGCCCGCAGCACCCTCCTGACCGGACTCACACCTGGCACCAACTACCAGCTGGACGTGCGGCTGTACCACTGCACCCTCCTAGGCCCCGCCTCGCCCCCTGCCCGTGTGCTTCTGCCGCCCAGTGGTGAGCTTGGAAGGGGGACCCGGGGGGTGGAGTGAAACCCGGGTACAGGAAAACACAAAGATCCAAGGGGCTGTGCGGGGTCTCGGTGACCGTGGAGGGAACAGGCACAGGGAACACACAGATGTCAGGTAGTCCTGGATTGGCAGATGGGGGGGACACGGGGTGTGGCAGCATAGGACACTAGCAGGAAGTAGACCCCCCAGGACAACAGATGCAGAGGGGCACACGGAGGTCAGGGGTCATGCGAAAAACAGGATTATGGGGGGACTTGGGGGCACCAGCAGGACTGGAGACTGGGGGACACAATTTAGGGGATCTTGAGGAGGACCTCTGACACTGGGAGAGTTGGAACCCCAGAAAATTGGGGGATATAAGGAGAACAAGGAGCAGTGGGTGCTCCCGGGTGAAGGAGAGCAGAGGGACAGTAAGGAGGGACCTGCCTGGGGGTGCTGCCCCGGGAGAGGAGACACAGGCCCGCCACGGCGTCTGCTCCCGCCTGAGCACCACCCCCTCCCCAGGGCCCCCAGCCCCCCGACACCTCCATGCCCAGGCCCTCTCCGACTCCGCGATCCAGCTGAGCTGGCAGCGTCCAGAGACTGTGGCCGGACCCATCTCCAAGTACATCGTGGAGGTGCAGGTGGCCGGGGGCTCAGGAGACCCTCAGTGGGTGGACGTGGCCAGGCCCGAGGAAACCAGCACAATTGTCCACAACCTCAATGCCAGTACGCGCTATCTCTTCCGTGTGCGGGCCAGCGTCCAGGGCCCCGGGGATTGGAGCAACACGGTGGAAGAGTCCACTCTGGGCAACGGTGAGAGGTCTGGGCTCCATGTCCCTCCACGCTGCCCCTCCCTGAGTCCAGAGCTCCATCCACGTGGCTCCACCCCAGTGCTGGGGGCTCTCGTGTGGCTCCAGGCCTGACATCCCCAGCCCCCCACATTGGGATCTCTGACCTCTCCCTCTGTGGGACCCCACTGTGGCCTCTAGGCGCCCTCACCCACATCCTTTTATGTGTCCAGGGCCACAGAGTGAGGGCCCAGTCCAAGAGATCCGGGCAGTGGAGGAAGGGCTGGATCAGCAGCTGATTCTGGCGGTGGTGGGCTCCGTGTCGGCCACCTGCCTCACCATCCTGGCGGCCCTCTTAACCCTCGTGTGCATCCGCCGGAGCTGTCTCCACCGCAGGCGCACCTTCACCTACCAGTCAGGCTCGGTGAGTGCTGTCCCTGTGCGGGCCTCATGTGCAGAGCCCGCGTGTGTGCGTACATGCATGTATTTGTGTGTGTGTGCATGTATGCATGTGTATGCGTGTGAGTGTACGAGTGTGTGTGTGTGCATGTGCGTGTATGCCTGTGTATGTGTGTGTGTGTGTGTGCATGTCTGCGTGTGTGCGCGCGTGTCTGTGTGTATATGCATGTGTTTGCATGTGCGTGCATGCATCTGTGTGCGTGTCTGTGTGTATATGCATGCGTGTATGTGCGTGTACGTGTGTGTGTGTGTGTTTCTGTCTCTGGTATAAGACTAAGCTCAATAACTAAATTCAAGGGTGCAGAATATATATCTTCAGAACTGAACTATTTGAGTTATTTCAGTGGTGAAACTTTTGGTCGTCTCCCTTCAGAATAACTCCATGATGCCCTTGTTTCACGGTGGTCAGTTCAGGACCTCACCCCCCACCCTGCTCCCTTCCTCCATAGGGGAGCTCTGAGCTGAGGTTGCAGGGTGGCATCATGATGGGACCCTAACCATGAGGCTGGTCTCTGTCCTGGCAGCCCACCCCCGGGCCTGAGAGCCAGCCTGCGCCCCCACACACTCAGCTGCCACCCGCACTGGCCCTGTGACCTCCTGCCAACAGGCCGCTCTCTGTGAGTGCCTCATCACATCCTCCGTCAAGCTCTCCTGGGGAAACCCAGAACCCTGAGCCCTGCAGAGGACAGCAGATTCCGCGGGCCTCGCACCCATGGCTATGCTCCCAACCTTTCCCAATTGGTTCTACAACTTTGTTTTTATGGGTATTTGAGGGGGAGGGTAGGAGAGTCTGAGGCCACATCCAGCAGTGCTGAGGACTTATTCCTAGCTCTGTGCCCAGGGATCACTCCTGGTAGACCCGGGAGACCGTATGGGATGCCGGGAATCTAACCTGGATTGGCCACATACACGGGAAGCGCGCTGCCTGCTGTGCTAACTCTCTGGCCCTGGTTCTGCCCGAGGCCTTCCCAGCAGTCCAGAGGAGTGACACAGTCCCGTACTGGCCTCTAGGCTCAACCTGTGTCCCCTGTCTCCCAGACCACACCCCTCTGGCCTGCAGGTCGGCACTAGGAAGTGGGGTGGGTGCTGGTTCTCTGGGGACTCAGCCTCCCTTGGCCATGCCCCCTCCTCCCACCTCTCTCCCAGGTGGTGCTGTCCCCTCCCCGCCTGCCCTCACTAAGGATCCGAACTCTGCCCTGGGTCCTCTCCTGATATTTTCAGCCCTGCTTTGGCATTTAGCACCCCCCCACACTCTCCTCCCTCAAAGGCTGCCTGTGATAGGCGCCCAGTGTTCACAGCTAGTGCCTCTGCCCTCGGAGACTCAATCGGCTTCTTTGTCCCTGCTGGCCACTGCCCCCTCGGCACTCCCTCTGAGGTCAGCGCACACAGGCCGCCTGGTCAGGGTGAAGGGGGAGGGAGAGCGGTGGTTATGGGGGAGAGAGAGAGAAGGGAAGTCCCAGGGGGAGCAGCTGCCCTTCACAGACTGTCGTGCAGGTAACTTGTGCAGGGGGGCCTGTAGGCAGGCAGAGGTGCCTGGGCACCTCAGGGTGAAAGATGCTCAACGTCCCTGTGCTTGTGCCACCTTGCCTGCACATATGCAAGCCCCGCTCCGGGTCACACCTGCCTCGGTGCACAGACCTGTGGCCTGCCTCCCTCTACTCCGTGGGGCTGCTGCTCACTGCTTCAGCCAAGCTCAGCTCTGCCATCAGCACTTCAGGGGGCTAAGCGCCCTCGAATTGGGGAGCGGTGAGTGGTCCTCTTTGTTCAGGTCTACCTGTTTTGGTGATTTGGTTTGGTTTGGGGACCACATCCTGCAGTGCTCAGGACTTACTCCTAGCTGTATTCTTAGGGATCACTCCTGGCAGGGCTCCGGGGACCATCTGGAGGACCAAGGATTTAATCTAAGTCGTCCATGTGCTTGGCAAATGCTTTCATCCCTGTAGTATTTCCTTTTTTTTTTTCTTTTCCCCTTTTTATTGATTCACCATGAGGTACAGTAACGGAGCTTTCATGTTTGAGCTTCAATCATACGATCATCAAACAGCCCTTCACCAGTGCACGTTTTCCACCACCAAAATCCCCAGTATCCTCCCCTCCCTCCAATTCCACACCTACTCCTGCCTGTGTGGCAGACAATTTGCACGATACTCTCTTTCTCTGCTTTGATTACCTTCAATATTTCAAGCCCAGTCCCACCACCACTCATACCTACCAAAAAGGCAATGACAAAAAGGCTAGACAATGTGTTTTGTATTGCTTGTTATGGGTACAACATAAATGTTCCATGGCTTCGAAAGTGGCCTCACGCTCTAGGAATTCTAAAATTTTAATAATTAGGGTCTGGAGAGATCGCTGTAGCAAGTTGCTCGGGTCTGAGATTCATTTGTATGTCTCTGGATCATGGCTGTGTGAGAGCTTAAGTAGACAGTGGCCGTATACGGGCCTCATCTCAGAGTCCCATTGGGGTGGGAGGAAGGAGAAGGGCCGACTCCCCCCCGTCCCATGAGGCCTGAAATTTGCCGCCACCACCACCCGTACCTGAAGCTTGTCGCTGAGTTCTAGAAGATGGCAGCTGCTGGGATTCCTAGGGGGCAGGCAGAGGGACAGCACCTACCTCCATCTGGAGTGGCCTGGCGAAAGTGGCCTATTGCAAAGTCCAGAGCCATCGCTACAGCAAGTTGCTGGGGTCCAAGATTCGTTTGTGTGTCCCCCTCCTGTAGTATTTCTCCAGCCCTCTTCTGGTTTTACCGACAGATGGTCCTGGCTGCTACCATCCTACCCATGAATGTACCTCTGAAGCCCCCATGGGGGACAGTTCCTATTAACTGTGGACGAGGAGACTCTCCTCTGCTCCCCGCGGCTCTGGGCTCAGCACGGAGCCACTGCTCGATAAGTGTGTCAGTCCACTGCCCAGAGCCTACTCCAGACCATCCCTGGTGACGGAAACAGCTTGGCTGTGCCATCAGGAAATCCCCTGCCCCATGGGTGCTTATTTCTGTTTCACAAGTTAGAAATCTCCTTCCACCCATCCAGGGTGGAGCCTCTCACACCTTCACTCTCTCCTTGTTCTTCCAAAGCAGCCTGACCCCATCCCTGGGTTCCAGCCTCCACATATCTTTCCTTGGACACATGTCCCCCCGCCATAGCCCATCTGGGTGTGTTCCCCGCCTACCCCAGGTGCCCTCTGCCTGAGTCCATTTATCTCAGCGTTGTTTGACCACCCTGCTTTGTGCCCACCCCCATGCCCCCATGGCCCGTGTCTCCCTCATGGACTCTCGCCCACTTGTCTTGTCTTGCACAGGGCGAGGAGACCATTTTGCAGTTCAGCTCAGGCACCTTGACGCTGACCCGGCGGCCGAAGCCCCAGCCCGAGCCCCTGAGCTACCCGGTGCTGGAGTGGGAGGACATCACCTTCGAGGACCTCATCGGGGAGGGCAACTTCGGCCAGGTCATCCGTGCCATGATCAAGAAGGATGGGCTCAAGATGAACGCAGCCATCAAGATGCTAAAAGGTGGCCTGGGAAGGACCCCTGCCTTTGTCCCACAGACCCTAGGCTTTCTCCAGCAGTGGACCCCAGCCCTCACTCCCCTGCCCTCCCTGTCAGCCCACTCTATGCCCTTTCTCCAGGCCTTTCTGGTCAAACTCATCCTGAATTCTTTTTATTTATTTTTTCTGTTTGGGGGTGCTACAGCCAGCAGTGCTCAGGTCTTACTCCTGACTCTGCACCCAAAATTACTCCTGGCTGGACCCCAGGGGACCATCTGGGGTGCTGGGGACTAAACCTAGGTCGGCCTTATGCAAGGTAAGCACCCTACTTGCTGTACTAATGCTCCTGCCCCGGTCCTGATCTTTTTTTTTTGCATAGAGTATGCCTCTGAAAATGATCATCGTGACTTTGCGGGAGAACTGGAAGTTCTGTGCAAATTAGGGCATCACCCTAATATCATCAACCTCTTGGGGGCCTGTGAGAACCGAGGTGAGCCCGCACTCCCCACTCCTTCACATCAACACAAACGCGTGAGGTTACCGCACCGCCACCCCTTCCTGCCTCTCTCCTGTGGGCACCATGTGCACCGTCTCCCCCAGGTTACCTGTACATCGCCATTGAATATGCCCCCTATGGGAACCTGCTGGATTTTCTGCGCAAGAGTCGAGTCCTGGAAACAGACCCGGCTTTCGCGCGGGAGCACGGAACAGCCTCCACCCTCAGCTCCCGGCAGCTGCTGCGCTTCGCCAGCGATGCTGCCAATGGCATGCAGTACCTGAGTGAGAAGCAGGTGAGCACGACGTGCAGGTCTGAAGGGGAAGGGACGCTGCCCCAGGCTGGTCTCTGGAGACGGTGTCTGCAGGCTCTGCGATGGGCCAGAGGAACAGAGGACAGGACATGAGCCTGGTTCTGGCTGGGAAAGGAGTGAGAACATGGATGGGGAGGTGGGGAAAGAGCCGGAGAAAGCAACCCAGGCGTCTGAGGATGGACGCGTTGGGGGAGGAATTGAGTTGGCTTCCTAAGTACAGGGCTGGGACCCCAGGAGCGTAAGCCTAGGCCAGCATCAACAGGCTGGGGGTGTCGGCCCACAGATGGTGTCAACAGGGATGAGGGAGTAAGACCCAGGACAGGCGGGAGACTGGAGCCCACAGCGGAGGTCCAAACCCAAGAATACTCGTGTGGATGAAGTGGGATGAAAGAGTTAAAGTCAGCCAGGCCTGAGCGTCTATGAAAGCAGCTCCTAGGGGAGGTTAGCATCGAGGGAGGGTTGATGAGGGAGGTTTCCGGGAAGGTGGAGGGGTACGTGGGTAGGACCTAGAAATTGATGCAGGGACTCAGCTTGGGTAGAAAAAGGGCCTTTCAGGGCTAGAGCGATAGTGTATACAGCCGACCCATGTTTGACCCTCAGCATCGCATATGGTCCTCAAGCACTGCCAGGAGTAATTCCTCAGTTGCAGAAATGGGAGTAACCCCTGAGCATTGCCAAGTGTGGCCTACTCCCTCCCCCAACCCCCTCACTGAAAAGGACCTTCACCACTCTCATCAATGAGGGAAAGGTGGGCTGGCAGGGAGGGAGAACAGGGAGCTTGCACAGAGGGGGAGCTGATCCTTAAGGGCCCCTGGGGAAAGTCCACCATGGTCCCTGGGCCTGGCCAGGTCTGGAGTGGAAGTGATAAGAGCCAGCCTCAGCTTTTCCCGGCCGGCCTTGGATTCAGGGTGAGGCTGGGGACCAGGGAGACGAGGAAGAGGCTGCTAAAGATATGGAGGGCATCCGCAGAGACCAGCCCGGGGCTGCCTCTTCCGGTTTCCCTGACTTCTGGCTGGGCCTGCAGTTCATCCACAGGGACCTGGCTGCCCGGAATGTGCTGGTCGGAGAGAACCTGGCTTCCAAGATCGCAGACTTCGGCCTTTCCCGAGGAGAGGAGGTCTACGTGAAGAAGACAATGGTAAAGCTCTAGCTCCCTCCTACCCAGCGCACCCTGAGAAGTCCTCGCTCCTCTCCTGACCCTCATCCCCACTCTTTCTCAGGGCCGACTCCCTGTGCGCTGGATGGCCATTGAGTCTCTCAACTACAGCATCTACACCACCAAGAGTGACGTGTGAGTAGTGGGGGTCAGAAGGGCTCGGCCCCCCACAGAGACAGGTGGGCTTGGGCCTGAGTCAGAGCTGGCTCTGTTCCTGGAGGGCGCCTCGGGCATCCAGGTGACCCCCAGTACCTTAGAGGAAAGGTGGGAGTTGGCTGGAAGTAATTCTGTCTTGGAAAGCATTGTGGATAATTCAGGGCTCTGCGCCATGGAGGGAGTTGAGTGGTGGTGGAGAGTTGGGGGCAGAGTGTGGGGGGTTCCCCCACTTGAGCCCCTTCCCTCTCAAACTTGCACTCCAAGACTCTCCAGCCGAGGTCACAACCCTTCTCTCCAGGGGCCTGTCTGTCCACCCCCAACCTGAAGCCCTTTGTCCAGCCTGCCCAGCCCAGCTACCTCCCATTTCGACAACCCACCTCTGACCACCCTTCACCTATTTCCCACTTCTCCCCACGGAGTCCCTCCCTCCATGGAGGTGGTTGTCACACCTGGTGCAGGTCTACTAGGGGCAGATGCTGGCTCTGCTATTTCCCCTCTGTGGGACCTGGGCTGAGCCCGTCTCTTTGGTACCTCAGTGTCTACATCTGTAAAGTGGGGAGAATACTATTAATGCCCATCATTGGGTGAGGAAAGGTTAAGTGATTGTCCCCCAAAACGGATGATACCTGGAGAAGTTGGTAATAGCTATGGGTTTAGTTGGAGGGCGGGAAGGGCATACTCTCGGAGAAAGTAGATTTACAGAGAAATCTTGGTTGATAACTCAGGGACCCTGTCGGTTCAATGATGAGAGCCTGGCTCTTGGTACAGCGTGGAAACCCGCATTCGCTATTGTTACCTTTAGTCTGGAAGGATTGTGAGGGGGCTTTTTCTGGGGTCCACATCTGGCTCTGTGTTGGAGGGAGGGAGCTTTTATGGAGGACAACAGTCGGCCCAGGCAGCAGCCCTCAGAGTCGGCCTGGGGAGGAGCACATGGAGTGTGTGTGTGTGTGTGTGTGTGTGTGTGTGTGTGTGTGTGTGTGTGTGTTGGGAGCTGCTGGCCGGGGTGGGGGGATGCCTTATTACATCTTCCTCATTTCAGCTGGTCCTTTGGGGTCCTCCTCTGGGAGATTGTGAGCCTCGGTAAGTCTCCAAGCCCAGCGCCCCAGCATCCCCCTCTTCGCCTCCTTGGGTCCCCAGCTGAGAACCGTGTCCCCTCACCCCAGGGGGCACACCCTACTGCGGCATGACCTGTGCTGAGCTCTATGAGAAGCTGCCACAGGGCTACCGCATGGAGCAGCCTCGGAACTGTGATGACGAAGTGTGAGTCTCTCATCCCTGACCCATCCCCGGGAAGACTGCCCTTGAGCCTGAACTGGGCCCCTCCTGTCCCCTGGCCTCGACCCCACAGCTCACCCATACCCTGTCTGCAGGTACGAGCTGATGCGGCAGTGCTGGCGGGACCGGCCATATGAGCGGCCCCCCTTTGCCCAGATCGCTCTGCAGTTGGGCCGCATGCTGGAAGCCAGGAAGGTGAGGCCAGCAGGGGGTGGGAATGGGGCAGGCACTGAGGCTCACGGATCAGAGCAGCAGCAGCCTCAGACTCAACTGTCCCCACCACAGATAGGCTGAACCCAAGAATGCAACCCTACTTCCCAGCTCTCAGAAGGCTGGACACTGGGCTCACTGGGCTCTTTCAGTCGCTACCAAGGCCACTGCTTAGCCCTGCAAAGCCTTCTCCCATGTCTCAGCCTGTTTTCCCATCCTCCTCTGCTGGGACCATCAGGCACTCTCATCTTGCACACCCCTCCTCTCCTGACTCAGAGTCAGGCTGGGTGCACGAATGGTCCACCAACTAGAAGGATGGATGGATGGATGGATGGATGGATGGATGGATGGATGGACGGACAGATGGACAGATGCATGGATGGATCAATGAATTCATGGATAGATGAATGGACGAATAAAGGAGTAGATGGATGGATGAGTGGAAGGTTGGATGATATAATTACTGAGTGAGTGAAAAGAACTTCTGGATGAATGATCTAATCATATCAATGATCTAAGAAATGATCAAAGATAAATGAAAAAGGATATCAAAACATGTTCATGTGGAAATTTCTTCACATGGATGAAGTATGTATGAATGACTAAGTTATCTTAAGAGTTTAAAAAGTAGCCTATGAAGTATGCTTCACATGGATGAAGCAGTATGGATTGTTAAATTATCTTAAGAATTTACAAAAATGGGGGCTGGAGCGATAGCACAGCGGGTAGGGCGTTTGCCTTGTACACGCCCAACCCGGGTTCGATTCCCAGCATCCCGTATGGTCTCCCAAGCACCGCCAGAGGTGACTCCTGAGTGCAGAGCCAGGAGTAACCCCTGTGCGTCACTGGGTGTGACCCAAAAAGCAAAAAAAAAAAAAAAAGGAACTTACAAAAATGGTCAAAGTGCATGTGAATGAGTGACTTGCCCAGAGTAGCATTATGAATAGATGGATAAAGGGACAAACGGATGAATGCTGGCATGAAAAATCTCCTATTGAAGAATTATGTCAGGGGCCTTTCACTTGAGACCCCTCGCTCGAGGGGATGGGCGTCTTTGATGCTCTGGGCTGGTAGGAGCCACCCTGACCATAGAACTCTCTAGAATCTTCAGGATAAGTCAGTGTCTCCTCAAATGTGCCAACCACACAGAAGCCCAGAACTCCTGGCCAGAGGCCTCCCTGGCCCCAGCCCCCCTGAATCTTGCTCTGCTCCCCAGGCCTATGTGAACATGTCGCTGTTTGAGAACTTCACTTATGCAGGCATCGACGCAACCGCTGAGGAGGCCTGAGCTTCCCTCCGGCCCGAACCTGGCTCTGCTGGCCAGAGCGTCCACCCTCCGACTGTGACTCTCACCCTGGGGCCCGAGCAGCCTCTAGGACTGGTTTTAACTTAAGGAAAGAGGGGATCCCGGGACGGGTGGGTTTAGGGGAGCTGGGTTCTCATCCTTTGCACTTGCTCCCTGCCTCCTGCAGTTATGCCTCTGATACGCGTCCTTCCTTCTGGTTCTGCCCCTCCCTCAACGTGTCCCCTCCTGTGACCCCACACTTAACCTCTTGTGAGTCCCACACTCAATCCCTCCACACGTCCACTTCTGTGACTCGCCTGTCTCAAGCCCCTACTTGAGCTCCTTCCCCCATGCCAGCACTTACAGCACTAACGTGCCCTCAGTCCTTGCCCTGCCAGCCTTGTAATCAGAACAAATAAAATGCTCTAAGAAGCTCCGGCCAATGGCTCCCTTTTACTGTAGTCATTCCCAGGGGGAAAGCTGAGCCAGAGAGGGAGAAACTGGGCTTCCGGAGCAGAAAGGGGCCCTCTCCCTGCTGTGCTGTCTTCTGTGGGGCTGCCTTGCTTGACAAGAGCCGTTCCAGAAGGCCGGTTTGCTGCATACACACCCCCTATGTCAATGTTATGTTGAAGAGGCCTCTTTCCCCCGGTCTCTTCCTGCTGTCCAGTCTTCAGCAACAACAAATCTTGCTGGATCTCTACATAGCTGCCAGCTGGGGGGTTGTGTGCCAACAGTTTGTCAGAACCGCGATGGCCCAGGCTGGAACAACACTGAGCCCTCAGCCCCACAAACATGCTAGCCTGTTCAGAGCTCCCACTTCTCCTTCCCTCTCTGGGCAGTCTCTTCTGGTTGGGCCACCTGACTACCCAGTCCATGAGTCCAGAGGGAAGAAGGCAGGGGTCACCCCAACTTTAGCCAGCATGAGCGAACCCCTTTTTCAGCTGTAGGACCTGAGTGTTCTGGGAGTTCTGAAAGCCCATCACACATGTCCTCCCCACTCTGCGAGGCCTTCTGATTGGCCTGTCCTGGATTTGTTTTTGCTGACCTCAGGTTTCTCTCCCACTGATTCTGAAGAATCAGGACGGGTGTGGCTTCACCATTTGTGCGCATGTGTGAGACAGAGACACTCCATTGTGGTAAAGAACACAGATTCTGGGGCTGCAGATATGATACAGAGGGTAGGGAACTTGCCTTGCACATAATTGACCCAGGTTCAATCCTTGGCACTGCCTATGTTCCCCTGAGTGATCTCCAGGAGTGATTCCTAAGCACAGAGCCAGGAGTAAGCACTGAGCACCACTGGGTATGACCACCCCCCAGAAAAAAAATTCTAGGGCTGAAAAGAGAGCCCAAGAGGTGGAGTGACCGCTGAGCACAGAGCCAGGTGTGACCCCAGAGATTCTGGACTCACATGACCCCGTCCTGCGCTATCTATCATTCACTGTCTGTGTGACGCTGGCCACGTCACTGACCCTTTTAGAGCTTCAGTTTTTTTCCCTCTGGAGTTGGGTGAGCAATGCCAGTCTCCCAGCTGTTAGCACCAGATGAGATCACACAGGCCCATTCTTCGGAGCGCGGGACCTGGTGCACGGTCCGTGTTTATTGTCAGATACACTGACAGTAGACACAGAGGCAGGGAGTTGGGGTGAGGCTGGTGATGATCAGAACCAGTATTCCAAAACAACTTGAACGGATGGCATGGGGGGGCAGGGGGTGGTGATTGGAAGAAGAAATTAACTGGGGGCCGGGGACGTAGCTCAGAGACAAAATACTTCCCTTGCCTCTATGAAGTTGTGTGTTCGATCTCAGCACTGAAAAAAAATTTTTTTTTCCAAAAGAAAAAAATAAATTAACTGGGGGCTGGAGCGATAGCACAGCGGGTAGGGCGTTTGCCTTGCATGCAGCCAACATGGCCAACACAGGTTCGACTCCCAGCATCCCATATGGTCCCCCGAGCACCGCCAGGAGCATGAGTCAGGAGTAACCCCTGAGCATCGCCGGGTGTGACCCAAAAAGCAAAAAAAAAAAAAAAAATTAACTGAAGGCTACGCAGAAAGAGGGAAATGGGATTTGCTCGAATGGAATTTCATCTCCGATCCACTACAGCAATGTTGCCAAGCCCAGTGGTGGCAGCATCCACAAGTCTTGAAAGCTGTCCCCGCTGGAGATTGACATATAAACAAGGATGCCTGTGTGGGGTGGCAGATGGGGAAGCACACAATGACTTCAAGCCGTGTGCGTGCGCTGGAAGAGAGGGAGAGAGTCTAGGGAACAGCAGAGAAAGGAAACGGGCGAGAAAGTGATGCTTTAATATGGCCTGCGGTGGAAAGAGAGCCGGAGCTCAGCGGAAGACAGGACCCCAGCAGAGGAGACGGTGCAAGAGCTGCCACGAGTCCTGCGGCTGGAACAAAGGGAGGGCAGAGCTCTGGGTGGTACTGAATTCAGAGAGGTGCCCTCACCAGGCCTGCTGACCTCGGGAGGCAGCGTTAGGATAGTGGTGTTTGCCCGAGGCAGAGAATGACCCCAGAGAGACCTCGAGACTGGGTATGTCAGGGTCAGATTTGCTGTGGATTTGCAAGATCACTGAAACGCCAGAGTGGAGGATGGATTCAAGAAAGCGGGTGGAAAGCTAGGGATAAAGCTCGGTGAGTAGCGTGCTTGCAAGTGTGAGGCCTTGGGTTCAGTCACTGGACCACAAAAAACAATAAATAAAATCAACCATGTAAAGAAGTCTTACCTCTGGAACCACAAAAAGTAATAAAATTAAGCATGTAAAGAAGTCTTACAGCTTGGGGCTAGAGAGAGAGTACAGCGGGTAAGGCGCTCACCTTGCACTTAACTGATCGGTTTCAATCCCCAGCATCCTGTATGGTCCCCCAAGTTCTACCAGAAGTGATTACTGAGCACAGAGCCAGGAGCACCGTTGCGTGACCTCCAGCCCCCCCCCCCCCCAATCACCACAAAAAGAGGGAAGTCTTTCCACCCAATAAAAATAAATAATTCAATTGTTTTTGTTTGGGGGACACACCTAGATATTCTCGGAATCTACTCCTGGTTCTGAGTTCAGGGATAAGTCCTGGTGGGTTCAGGAGACCATATGTAATGTTGGTTATGGAACCAGGGTCAGCAATATCTAAGACAAGTGCTTTATCATGATATTATCTCTCCAGTCCCTAATTCAAGTTTTTTAATGAACAAAGAATATGAATAGATCTTTCTTCAAAGGAGCTATGACCAATAACATATGGTCAACATGATATCAGAAGATGTTCAACATGATATCAGGGAAATGACAGTACTTTATACCTACTGGGATGGCTTTAATCACCAAGTGAGATGATAAGAAGGTTTGGCAACGAGAAATCAGAATCCTCATAAATTGCTAGTAGGAACATAAATTTATGCAACCTGGAGCTAGGAAGGCAGTTCAAAGGGCTAGTTCAAGTGCATGGAGAAGCTGTGGGTTTAACTCCCAACATCACAGTCTCCCCTCCAAGCACTGCTGGGAACAATCCCACAGCAACATGCCGGGAGTAACTCCTGAGCATCACTGAATATGACCCAAAAGCAAACACCAAACCGAAAAACTGTGCAACCTATTTTGAGAAGTTAGACAGTCACTGAATTCCTTAAACATAGAGTGACCTGGGGGCTGGAGCAATAGCACGGCGGGTAGGGCGTTTGCCTTGCATGCAGCTGACCTAGGTTCGATTCCCAGCATCCCATATAGTCCCCCAAGCACCGCCAGGAGTAATTCCTGAGTGCATGAACCAGGAGTAACTCCTGTGCATCGCCGGGTGTAACCCCCCCCCCAAAAAAAAACAAGGAAAAAAAAACCATAGAGTGACTATACGACTTAGGAATTCCACTTCCAGTTCTATCTCCAAGAGAAATCAAAATATGGGTCCACACAAAACCTTGTACATGAATGTTTCCTTTTCATAGTCAGAAACTAGAGATGAACCTCAGTTATCCATCAACTGACAAAAGAAGCAACAAAATGTAGTCTCTATGTACATTTGAACATTATTTAGTCACTGAAAGGGTATAAAATACCTTAGCATAGATAAACCTTGAAAATAGGCTAAATGAGGCGGCTGGAGTGATAGCACAGCGGCTAGGGTATTTGCCTTGAACGTGGCCAACCTGGGTTCGATTCCCAGCATCCCATATGGTCCCCTGAGCACTGCCAGGAGTAATTCCTGAGTGCAGAGCCAGGAGTGACCCCTGTGCATCGCCGGGTGTGACTCAAAAAGCAAAATAAATAAATAGATAGATAAATAAAAAAGCTAAATGAAAGAAGTTAGTCACAAAAGATTACATGTTTTGTTTACATTTTATATATGTGGACTGTCCAGGATAAGCAAATTCATAGAGCTAGAAAGTAAATTAATGGTCTCTTATGGCTGGGAGAAAAAAATGGGGCAAGGTAGGAGGAACACTAGTGGGGGCACTAGTTAAAAGGTCCTGGGCTTCTTTTTGAGATAATAAAAATTATTCAAGATTAATAATAATCATGGTTGCAGGACTGAAGAGATAGTAGATGGGTTAAGGCACATTCCTTGCACTCAGCCAGCCTGGTTCAGTCCTCAGCACCATATGGTCCCTGAGCATCACCGCTGCTGCCCTAGCGGCCCTGGCCCAAGACTGGGCCAGGGAACCCCCAGCCCTGCGGGCCCAAGCAGCACTGCAAGTTTGCCCAGATTCGCCAGCCCTCGGCCTCCTGAGCGCCATTAGGATCCCCACTTGCCCCCTCCCCCAAAAAACAGAGTAATGGGAAAAGAAAATGATGAACTGCTTACACATTTCTTCGAAAATATAAAAGTTGTTGAATTCTGAACTTTTAATAGGTGTATTTTCTGGCGTGTTTTTTTTAAATTTATTTTTGGGGGGAGCCACACCCTGAGGTGCTCAGGCTTACACTCAGGAATCTCTCCTGACACTACTCAGGAGACCATCTGGGATGCTGGCTATTGAACCTGGTTGACTGTGTGCAAGGCAGACACCCTACTTGCTATACTATCACACCAGCCCCAGTGACATTATTTTTGTTTTCTTTCTTTTGTTTGTTTCTTTTTCCTTTCCCTAACACTATTTCTTTTTAAGGGGGCCAGGACATAAGTCAAAAGGCTGAACACTTATTGTGCGCACAGGAGGTGTGAGTTGGATCCCTGGCACCACACTGGTCCCCTGAGCATCACCAGGAGCAACCCCGGAGTGCAGAGTGGGAGAAACCCCGGAGCACGGCCAGGTGTGGCCCCAAAACACGAAACAAAACCGTGGAGGTGAGGGGTTAGTGAGAGACTCTTGTGGGGAAACAACCAGGTAGTGCTGGAGAACTGAAAGAAACAGTGAGATGAGAGGATGGGGCTAAGCCTGGTGGAGAGGGCAGAGGCCAGGATCCCTGCCAAGCTTCTGTTTGGCTGACGGGG